TGTTGCCATTGTTTATAATAGATTCAGTGAAGTAATTGCAAATTCTCCTAGGCTATTAATTCTCAAAGGCCTTTTATTGACAACATTTTACTTGCTATAGTTTCTGTATATGTGTAAAGGTAATAAGACAATTATACTATAATTTGCACCATTAATTCATTCCAACTATACGTCCCTCAGATTGATACTAATTAGGGATGTATACATGTAATTTCAGTAGGGACTAGAGTGATGTTTGCTTTGCAATACCACTGGGAGGGAAAAAACTCAAGTGTTTATTTTTTAAGTATAAGTGGAGGAGGCTAATATAAAGTGAAGATCAAATAATGGCTTCAATCATTTATTACATCATGTTGTGTGCTGCTTCCTTATAACAATGAAAACAACATTTATGCTGCCAGGGAGAAGGAAGAGCCCTCTAGCCCTGTGTACCAAGTAAAGGTTGAAAAGTCAGTTTTTATACCCTCAGTGGAACATCATGATCCTAAAAACTTTTTTTTCAGTTAAATTAAAAAATTAATCTTGAATCTGTTTCGAAAATGTCCAACAATTTGAGTTTGCTGTAACAACACAGGACACATCCATCATCTACTTTAAGCTGTTTAAGCAAGAAAGCTTAAAGAAGGGCAGGGGAGGGCTTGGCTGCTTCTATATTGGCAACCAGGTTTATTGTTTTCGAAAACTGCAGATGTTACTAGGATTCTAGTGGTAAAATGATCCAAAAAGCTCCACTGGTACAGAAATCAGGGTTTCCTAAACTTGCCAACCAGAAGAGTCACCCGCTTAAAAATACCCATCCTAGACCACTCTAGGGGATTGGGATTTCTAATAAGCAGCTCTAGCAATCAGACAAGTTGGGGCAACACTTCCCAGCAGTGGTTCTCAGCCCCGATCCTTGCTAGAATCTCCTGGGAAGTGTAAAAGGTGGCAGCAGCACCACCACCACCAACTGATGCCCAGGCCCCACCTCAGGCCAATTAAATCAGCATCTCCTGAGTTGGCCTGGCCATTGGTGTGCTTTTAAAGCTGCCCAGATGATGCCGATGTGTAACCAGGGCTGAGCAATACCACTGCTTCACCTGACACTCAGTGTCATCAGCAGAGCAGGATTTGCAGCACTGGCCTCATCTGGGAGCTGGTTACAAATGCAGGGTCTCAGGCCTGGCCTCCAGCCCAGAATGGCAACCTGCATTTGCACGCTGAAGGCTGACAAGGCTGTTCTAGTGCATATTCAAGGAATACAAATCTTTCCACCAAAAGGATGGATTTTTACTCACCTCTCCCTCTTCCCTTTGCACCACCATTGGCAAAAGCCGCTTAAAATCTTGACAGAGATCTTTTTCTTTATACACTTTGTCATTGAAAGTCACCTGAAGAGGGATAGGCAGAGGCAAACCTATCTGTTCCAAAATCATTTCTCAAAGTATGTTAAGCAGCGTACACTGCTCTTACCCAATCAAATGCCCCAGCAGACTTTAATTGACAGTTTCTGTTTCATGTTCCATAATCAAAGACATTAAGGATCACTAGCATTCACATCCGTGAATTCATTTAGACAGTTTTCTTTAATTAAGGATGAAGACACTACAGTTCTAAGTACCAGACAGAATCAGGAAAAAAAAATTGAAAATAAGCATAACACTATAAAGAAAACTTGGAAAAGTGAAACACTTCCAAATAAAAAATATATACCTTGCCTGGTACCCATTACATATATACATAATACATGTTATACACATTTATACAATAAATGTTTTGGTAGCAATACAGACCATGCATTGGTCTTTTTGTACACAGATGAAGTAGCACCGTAAGCAGCACCACCATCTTAAGATGATAAAACAAACTGCACATACAGTAAATGAAAATATATATGTATTTAATTTGGCCCACCCTGTAGCCAAGAGGTGTAAGGAAAGTACTGAAAAATTGTTCCGGGAACTACGTTCTTAAGCCAATGGCAAAGGTCTAAAAAGTAAAACAAAACAAAACAAAAACAAAAACCAGCACTAAAGATGTCTATGCAAGTAGAGACAGGTTTTTCTGTTTACTGAATTTGTCCTATCATATGGTATATTGGTTAACACTGGAAAAATTAACACCATAAGCAAAGAGATTTAAAGGTGAATGGCAAAAGTCTAAAACACTAGATGTCTTGGCGTGTACATCAAAAATGCCAAGTCAACAAACTAGGCAAGGAAGATAACTCTCCATCTAAGTCATATATTTTCTAATATTTGCTAATTGTAAGCTCTTTATTAATGATAAATTCCTTAAGAGTAGGGATGAACACCTCCAATATCATTCTATCTCCTCCTGCACCCAATTTGATGTTCCGGTTACAAGCAGTGAGAGATACCCAACAGGATATCTGACCCACACATCCTCTACCCACACATAGTTGACTGACTTACAGAGCTATGGAAGGAGCTCAAAGATCTTCCCTGGCTTGAACTTAGAAATGACCAAAGGCATCAGTGTTCACCCTTGATGTTCCACTGACTATAAGAAGGCTACTTTTGCTCTCCGTAACTGAACTCACAGGCTAGAGGTCTTTCTCTTGGCAAGGTCTTGGCAAGGTCGTATTTCCTCATGTCCCCAGAAGAGCGTGTTTCTTCCTCTCAAGTTTCCCAGCAGCCCATAGATACGAATACAGCATTACCTCTAACTAACATTCGTGGCACCTCAGGAACATTAACCCCCCTGTCGACACTGCAAAGAAGCGATTTCATATTTGGCTTCCACCCATTCCTCTTCCCATGCCTCCCAAAGGTCCCGTCTCTCCCCAGTCAAGGTCTTACTTCCCAGTGTCTGGTTTCAGGGCCTCTTTGTGCAATGGACTGACCTACAGAGTTCTGCCAAAGCAGCCTGAGACCCAGGACAGGATCCCAGTCACCAGCAGAGCTCTTCATATCAATACTATTTCTCATGGCTCTTGTTGTCTGTGGATGATGGGCTCCCTTCCCTCCTTTTCTAACCACCTGCAGTAATAACTAAGCTTTCCAACTACATGGTATATTGCATTCGGGATGCAAGATTGAATAAAACAGGGCTTTAGTATTATAAAATACTGTTTCTAATAGTACAGTAGAATTGTTTCTTAATAGTTTAAATATCTCAAATTTAAAAGACAGCTAGAAGACAAAAGCCAGAGAAGAAAAGGTTAAAAATCTCTCCTTCTGGCTAGATGATTTTTTTAATAGATCCATTTTTGCAGTCACTAGATTAGTCAAGAGAGTCCCTGACCTTTGAAAGTTAGTGAGAAATAGCCGCAGATGTAACATCAGTACTGATTTGTCATTATTGACTCAGGTGGTTGATCATTAATGGATTCTCCTCACTTCTAGGAGGTTCTAGGGCCTTTCTTTTGCCCAGAATGAAGATATCATCAAAGCCATGGAACATATTTGTCTTTTTCACAAAGGAGAATGTTAAAACTCTGCCTAAGTCTCTAAGAAAGAACGCTGTGAGAGGTTGTTCTCATGAAGAAAAACCCACTAACTTCTCGATTAACCAGAGGCCACTAGAAACACCATTAATGGAGGCCCTTGGCTGGCCTACAAATACTTTGAAATGGATAAAAGCCAACTCTCCTCAATAGGAACCTAACACAAGGACTTAGCAGCTGATGTTGCTCAAAGTAAACCCTTCATGTAGCCAGAGCATGAGTTTTTGGCTTGAGTACCAGCAACTTCCAGTTTTAAATCAGTTAAGTTTGATACCACCATCAAACCCAGCTCAGGTATCACCAGAAGCAGCTTAAATAAGAATTTCTACCTTTATGTTATTTTACTCAAAAAAAAAAAAAAAAAAAGTCAGAGAAATAGAAACCAAGAGATGGATTTTCCAGTCTGTTCATTTCTGTTCTCATCCAAATTATGTAAATCATTCCACATGCAGAGGTATGTCAGTAATATATATTAAAAGTTTAGGTTCCTTGAGAAATAGTAACCAGCTTTACAGGAAAATGGTTGGGACTGACTTTGTTCATTGATTTTTCTTTATTTAAGTCCTCAATGCAAGAGAACAGGGCAGCTCGCTTTCCTCTTCCACTAGCAAGAGTATGAATCAGAATACTTGAAAAATGAAAAGTTAGTTTGACCAAGAAAGCCTTTTTTTTTTTTTTACAAAAGAGTAAAAAACAACTTTCATATCAGATTTTCAAAATTGGTAGTGTTCTCTACTAATAGGAAATGATGTAATTCAGCAAGTTCCTTGGAAACAATGGATTCTTATGACTACAGACCTATTTATCTTGGAAATTGATGAGCATGCAAATGATTAAAATCTGCAACAATGAACATTGTACAACAGTCTGGGAGGTACATGCCATCCGGTTGAATTAACAGTAACACGGGCCTCAGCAGTGTGAGGGGTTCCATTAATCTCCACTCCCCTTTGAGTAGAGCAAGGGTCCCCAACCAACTGATCAGGGGGCAGCAGCCACTGCAATGCCCTCCAACGCTGGCCCTTTCCTTGTCAACCCACCCCCACCCAGGGGGATCAGCCCTTCAGAGAAAAAAGATGTTGCTCCTCCCAACAGCAGGGCTGGGAATCCCTGACACAGAGTTTACGCTGACTAGGAGGGAGCCTGATATTTGCATCAATTCACTTAACCTTTAGGAAGTTTCCTGGTAAAAAGATTAGAAATTCTGTCGGCAATATCTTCAAGGGCATTTCATTGCCATCTCTTTTTCACAAGGAAAAATTTCAAGATGTGTACACTTTCCAAACAAGAAAAGGATTAACATCTTCACTGCTGGCTAGATGTTTCAATCGCAGGTCGTTATGCTTTTGTGTGCTCTCTGTACACGGTGTTTCATTAGCTAATCACTAACAGGCCAGCACCCATCAAGGCAAAGAGGCCAACGCATTCAGTTAAATAATGTAACACTGGAAGTTCTCAGAAAACAAGAGATAAGGGTCTTAAGGAAACGTGACGTGTAGCCCTGGTCATGATTTAAAAAAAAAACAAAAAACAAAAACAAAACAAAAAAAACACACTTTCTGGAATTTTAATGTTTGGTTAGCAAGCACTCACTTGTCTATCTTTCTCAAGACAATGCAGGAAATGAAATAGCATAATGTGTGCACAGAAAAAAATGGTGGGAATAGAGCAGGAAGCTTACAGAAGTGGAGGGGAGGGGAGAGAAGAAAAGATCAACAGTATCTAGTTTATTATGAACAGAAAGACATTTCCAGAATTTACAAACACCCACATTGTTCATTCCAAAGAGAGCTTTTGATTTGAAGGAATCACCCATGTCTCCTTCTCTTTACAGTATTTACAATGGAAGACTTTGATTTCCTTTTCTTGTAATTTTGCTTCCATTCCATTGCCAATGTTAAGCTGACAGTTGAAAACACCCAGCAGAATACACCCTTCTTCAGTTTAATTAACGTGGCCTATTGTCTTACAGGAAAAATACAAAATTAAGATTAATTCTATAAGGAACTCAGCTCAATATCAGGTTTATATTACAAGAGATAGTATCAGCAAATATAACTATACAATTGAGAACCATCTATGGCACTATGATTCTTATTATATTATTTTTCTGAGTTACAATCTTAAAACAAGGATCATACCCTAATTCTACTCTTTTTAGCCTTGTTTTAAGCATTTGCTCCATTCTTTACAACAGAACATTCTATACCTCAGTCCCACATCCAAAAAAAAGATGTGCTGTAAGAAAAGTTACATTTTCATTAAAAAATTACACATATAAATCAAAACCTATGTTAAATATTTAATACTCTCTCCACCCAACGTGAACAATCTTTTATGAAATAATTTACAATGATGCTTTGTCATACACAGTTTCAGCAGCAGATGAAATGTATCTTGCAGATGCAATGAGAGTAAACCCATTCTCTCGTGGCATGGTGGTGGGCACATCAGCTCACTGTGGCCAGCTAAGTCCTTACGGTTGAAGATGAAGTTTATGCAGACTCATTGTTCTGGTATCACAGTGCTTTTTTGCTTGGCACAATATAGAACGTGCAGTTCAGTCAACAAACTCCTGAGGCTTGTATAAAGTAAACAAACTGAAATGGATGCATCGTACCATCTACTGAGGAGAAAGGCATGAGGTCCTAGTTGTGAATCATGAAATACTTAGAGTCTGGGTACCCATGAGTTAGAGGAGGATTTGCTGAGGTCATTTAGGTCTTCATTCTGAAAAGGAAAATGAAAGAATTCATCACCACAGGCATGTCAAAACTCACCATCACTATTTTAGAACTCTTCTTTTAAAGAACCCTTCTTTTTAAAGTGTCAGATGAACTAAAGTTACAGGCACAAACAGTACTGTGAACCTACACAAAAATCAACAGACCGTATTTAACTTTTCATTTCTTTCCAAATGCAAGAGTCTAAAGCAATCAGAAACTAAAAGTAGTCAATATTCAATCAGTAAACAAATCAACACGATGTAGACCTTTCAGAGGTTTAGCGATGCAAAAATACAAAATTCTTTGGTGTTATGATTGAAACAAAAAAATACTTTATGGTTATTGTGTAAAATAACTATGAAATACAATGACTAGGTTGCGGTCAGTCTATGTTCAACCTTTCTTTGGTTAAAAGTCAACTACAGATTTTAGAATTTGGAGTTGCAGAGTTTAATGTTACAAAACCTAAAATCAATTTTTAATGTGACATTGTTTGACATGAGCATTTTAGATGCAAAAGGAGACCCAAGCAAAACAGATCTAGTTAATCATTAAATAAGAAAAAAGAGGGATTCAGATTTAGGCCTAACAGAAATACGGTGTTTGGGCGGAAGCACGGTATTTCTTCCATGCAACGCAAGAAGGCAAAGCTCAAAGGGGCATTATCTGCAATTCCCCTTCGGAGGGAAGACCCTTTTTAACCTCATAAAGCATCTTTTACTCTCAAGAATTACACTAGATAGTCCTTCAGAGGTCCATATTTTTCATGCATTCACAACGTAGCTATAAATATCAATACTTATAGAGTGCCCTGAAGAGTATTCAGCACAGAGTAGATAATCAATATATACTTGCTGAATGAGTAAACAGTTGTATCAAGTACTATGGAAGGTATGAAGTTGAATTCTGCCACAAGCCCTGCCTTTTAGAAATTCCAGAAAGGAAGGCAAGCTATGTTCATAAATAAATAAAATGCAAAGTAGATATCAGTAAATTTGTTGATAGACACATAGGGGAGGAAAAAAGCTCTAGACACATGGAGGAGGGAGAGAATATTTCCAGCCAGGAGTATAAGGGAAGCACCTTGCTGACACATTTGGCTTGGTTTGGAAGAAAAGGAACACAATTTGGGGATATAGAAGCAGGGCTGTGTCTACGTTGCTTCAGTGTTGTGTCTCCAGAACATAGCACAAGGCATGCCACATAGCAGGTGCTCAATAAATAGGAGATGGATGAAGGACAGAGAAGAAGACACTTCCCAGGGAGGGCACATGGCAGAACGAGACCCGGTGGGGAAAGGTGGTGCCAGGAGCAGGCTAAGTGAAGTACGTGGCTTCACCGGCCCGCAGGTATCGGAGGAGCGGTAGAAGGAGTTAAGTCTGCAAGTGCAGGCTGAGGTAGAGGGTGAAGAACGTTGAATGACAAGCCAGCAGGAAGGTCTTCATCCCATTGCAGGGACAACAAGGGCATGCTTTGTGATACGATCGAGATGCAGCAGTAAAAATCCCTATCAGCCACAAGGACAGCGACGACGTCTACAATTCACGCAGCGTAAGTGCTGACCAGTCACTTTCTCGCTCGCTCTCCTCTTGAAGGGAATGGCGGTGGCCGGGATCAGCCATCGTTCCCCACGTACGGAATGGCTTTCAGGTAAGTTGAAGTTTCCAAGTAAGGACTCTTGGTTTAGGAGGAGATTTTTGTTTATTTTAAAATGTTAACTCCACCTCTAAAAGACAGGTTAAACAGACTATTTTTTAACTCGCTAATAAAGACTTGGCGTGGAGACACTAATGTAAAAACAAACAAAAGAAGAAGCATTCCAGGCTTATCCTTGTAATTGCCAGAGAAACAGGATTCACTTCGTGGGGTCTCTACAAGCGAGAGGAAAGCCCGTCCTTTCAGAGGCCCCGTGGTGTGCTGGGAACTTCTCCAGATCTCTTATTTACAGGCGAGTTTCTCCTAAACTCACACTGGAATGTTCCTACCAGAATGGCTCCATACAGCTTCACACAGCTTCATGGCTCTGGGCCTAAAGTTAGGCAGGAAGGCCATACTTTATTAAAGGACTGACAAAGAAACTGCTGAATATATTAATAAAACGGGAAAAGCAAAGAACACACGACATGTTTGTCATGTCATATCTGGCTCTTCTCTGGAAGGGATGAATGAACAGCCTAGCATAGGAACAAACTGTACCCAGTTTTATCATCACACGAGCCAACCTGCACGGACGGGTTGGGGCAGAGAGGGACTGGGGTCCTCGTTAGGGGGAAAAATGTGGCTTCACTGCATCCTGAAATCTATTGCTTTTGGCCACTCGGCAACCATCCCTGTCACTGTCCCCAAGTACATTCAAAGAGCAGGAAATAAAAGGACGTATCAGTTCCATCATATATCTTCCTTCCAAAGTCTTAGCATACTACTTTTCGAAACCCTTAGTAATATAAAAAAAAAAAAAAAATCCTGATCAATGCTTACACCAGCCAGCCACAAATGCTACCTGTTGGTGTCATCGACTTAGGAATCTATGAAAAAGTGACAGCAAGTGGTAAAGTGTGAGGCAATGTTGACTTGGGGGCCGGGTGGGAACAGAACTGGAAGGCTACCCACAGACAACAGAGGGCAGGAAAAGGTCAAAGGGAAGGTCTGAAGTTCACACCTGTTTGACTTTGCACAGGGTGTGTGTGCACATAAAGTTTATCTACCATGTAATGACATGGACATCCTTTGGTGAGAACTGCCCTTCACAGGCCACCTTGGGGGCTGCATACTTATTCCAATCATGCAGCCATTGTTGGAAGCATTTTTGGAATGCCTGCTCAAGTTCCCTTTTCTTTTTTTTGCAACTGCCTCCTCAGCCTTGGGCATATTCCTTTGAATGGTCTCTATAGCAGCCGGTCTTAGCCCTTTGAGGGCACGTTTGATCTTTGGAGACAGCCAAAAAGCTTTGAGAGCCAAATATGGTGAATAATGGGACTGATTAAGCTGGGTAATGGTTCCCAGCGAGGTATTATCTAAAGCCAAAGAGCTCCAAAACTGAAGTTCCGAAAGCATAGTTGTTCACAACAGTTGCTCTGATGAGTTTGTAGGAAAGGAAGTCTCAGAATTTTATAGACAGACATCGGCATATGCTTTATGAGACTAAAGTTCATCTGCCCATATCCCCACCTCTACATGTTTGCAAACAAGAAAGGTGGAGCTTGAATAAAGCAACTGGCTTGCAGAAGGCAAACAGGTATATACGTATATTTGTGTAACTTAGGAATATGTTTAAAAAAGAAAAAAAGCAGTGCCTTGTAGTCATTCAATCCAATAAACATCTGTTGAGTGACAAATACAAATGCAATGATAAAGACTGGAATAAGCACCGAAAAAGACATAGGCATATATAAATTTAAAGCACTTTATATCTACAACTTCAATAGACTGATGCCAACCACATGTAGCAAATATTACTACAGTGTTTTACAAATACAAAAACTCACTTGTAACAGGCATACACTGGAAATAAAAAGGCAGAACATTTCCTTAAGAGAAGATACTGTGCAAATACCGTGTGGTGATATTCCTAGGTACATTCTCTCTAGTTACATCATTGGGGGATAACTTCTGAACCCAGAAATATGATGCACCTGTCATGAGATTTAGTAGCAGGAAATTACATTTTGACAAAATTTCATTACCACATCAGTGACTACTGTACCCTTTTGTGTATATCTTCTTGTAAGAGAAAACCTACCTAATCCTGTTGCCAGTAATGAAAAATGTGATTTTTACAGCATTATCAAATAAGTAAACACTTGAGCAATGCCACTTGAAACCTATGGATTATTGCATTATTGCATCCAGTAGGAATTTACATCTTCTGGACTCTACCCACTTAAACTATGCCGACTCTAGCTGAAAAACAAATAAGGCTTTTGCTTCCTTTCACACTGTCTCAGCCTATTGCTCAGTTTTGAGCATGAAAGCAGCTGAGAACAGCACAGGTTACGATATAAGTGTGATGAAAGGATCTATACCCTTTCAGCAGTGCATTTTTGGTTAAAACCATTGACAAGTGTTTTTATCTTGTATTTACATGTTTTGAAAGTTCTTGCCAATTTGTTGAGTCAAGTGAAACACAGTAATGAAAATCTGATTAGGGCAATACTAGCAGTTTCTACTTTCACTATGGAAATAGGAATAATATAACTTGTTTGGCTACTGTCATATACTAAAATGTAGCCAGAAAGTAACACTTCTTCATCCAATTGTACTTTAAAAAAGGACTGTAGTGATAAAATTTTCTTCAATGGAGACCACTGTTTAAAGTCTTATATTGTAGACTCAGCTAGAAAAATTCATATATGCAAAATTCCTCCACTTAATGTATCAAAACAGCCTATTTCTCTTTCAGTTAACATAGACAGCTGTAATTTAAAGAAAAAAACCTCAATTATAATACATAAAATGTATAAAATACAGGAAAATGTAAAGAAGGAATAAACATTATTTGTAATTTCCATCACCCCAAAAAAAGCCACTATTCAGCTGTGGCTCTAATTTCACTATTTACTTACAGAATTTGAGATAATTTTCCTTTCTAAGTAGGAGAGGAAAATAATGTTTTAATCATACTTAGATCCTTCCCATTCTTAAAAATCTATGATGAGAAAATATTTGAAATGTTAACCAATTTTTTAAACCTTCCCGGTATTCTATCCATTTCTTATCCTCCCAATTCATTGTATGTGGGGAGAACATGACAGTTTGAAAGTAGAAAAAGCCTCCAGCTTCCTGGCTTTGGTTTCCAAAAGCCTAAGTCCTTAAGGGAATGGCACAGGCAAAAGATTTGGAAGAATCAGAAGAGAAGAAGTCTTCTTCTCAGGGAAGAAAAATATTAACTTCATGAGAGCACAGAGGTTGGTGGGTAGCTCTGTACCTTGCAAGATGCAGACGACAATGCCTGTGACATATTCCTCTTTCTTCCCAGGTCTGCTGATTTCTCATTTCACACAATCA